CATTGTATCATAAAATGTTTATTGTTTTTCTACAATACATAGATTAGGAGAGAATACGATATTCTAGTAAAAAATATATTGATAAGATATGATTGCAGTCCCACTCCACTTCAATCTACATGCAGCGTATCTATGTGAGTACGACAATAGACTTTGTGTGAGTGTGTTGGTTGGTAGTTACGTACAATGTAAAGTGAATGACAAAAAAATGCGGGTGTGTTCCCTCTAAATAATTGTTATGCAGATTGAAGACTGCAGTCACACTTTAAAAAATTTTTCTATATATAAATTTTGTTTTTAATTATTAAAAGACATTTATATAATAGATGTGGACAATATCTGACACAGCTGTGTGGCCAGCGTTCAATTCAACGAATTAAAAATAAAATTATTGTGTAGTCAATTTTGCTTCTAATTATAGTAAGAGATATTTATATACAATAATTTTTATATATATTATAATAATAATTTAAATATATTAATCATATGTTTATCACAAAGTTTAATTAACTATTAATTCAATTAATTAAAAATAATAAAAAATTTTGTTGTTGCAATTTACTACTGTTCGATGAAATCTCTCTATTGAAAACAATACTTTATATTAAGAATGTAGGTTCTTTCGTTGTTGTTGTTGTTGTTGTTGTTGTTGTTGTAGCCCGCCGGGATCTGCTTGTGTGACCCCTTTGAACGGCACTTGGTCGTTTTCGACGAGTGACACCAGAACGTAGACCCAGCCGTTCTTGGAACATAGTTTCTTTCGTCAGAGCAGACGTTAAAAATAAAGTTAGTAAATACCCTAGAGATAACTATGTTTTTTTACAACTAATTTCTTTTTTTTTAATATATTTATGGATTGTTTTTTAAAAATATAATTCACAATACAAATGATTGAACTATAAGTTCAATAGAATATATATATCTGCAGAGTATTAGTATATGAATAAAAACTTGATTTTGATCATATATAATTGTTAATAACATTATGAAACTAAATTTTTTTAGATTTTTCATTGGTGTTATATGAATTTGAAGCTGCTGACCTCAAATCTGTAACCCGTTTTTCTTCTAAACATCTGGATCTTTCTAAATAATGGGTTAAAATTCCAAAATCGCGATTTCAACAAAAAATCTTGAGTAAAAACATTAATTATAATAAAAAAAAATAAATCATTTTTATTTAAGATTAAGATTAAAAATATTCTGTGCTTTATAAGACAAAGAGAGAGCTAAGTTTCCGTGTTAAATGGCTCTATAAGAATTATACAATGCTAAGATTAAAATATTCGATACTTTATAGGATCTATAATCTTATATCTATGTTCTGTAAATGAAATAATTAGGTTCCCGATTAAGCAGGTCTGTAAAAAAGGTATTCACCGCTCATATTTAAAGCATCATACGCTTTATAAGAGCATTTTTATAGTTTAAAAATTATATTTTTTGTGACCAAATTTAATTTTTTTTATATAATTTACGGGTTAATTAATCAATTATATGTACTTTCACCATATTTAAAAAAGACCGTCAATAAATATATTAATTGAAAAACTCAAGCTGAAGATTAGCCTATTCATGACTACAGAATATAGTCGAAATATTGGTGTTTAAATGTTTTTTTTTTAATTAATTAAATAATTGCGATTTTTTCATTTAATATCTTAATTGACATTTTTTTAAAAGTTTAGTTGACAATACAAAAAATTAACCAATTACCCGGAAAACTAAATATATAATATATAACAATATATAAATACAAAAAATGTAAATACATGTAAAAATTTTATATATATATAATAAACATATTATATTATATTATAAGTATATATAATTACTTTAGTAATTTTTTAAAAATTTTTGTTGTTTTTAGAAAGAAATCGTGTGGATAAACACGATTAGTCATCGCTTCTAATTTGACAGGCACGAGTTCTAAGCCTGGCACTTGCAGTCCAAACAAATTATGTACGGACTATAAACTAATTAAATAAAATTTGATTATTTCCTAAGACCACTGATGAAGAGTACTTGGTAATACTCGAAACAGCGTTGTATAGTTAGCCAAATTCCAATAAAAATTAAAATAAATTTTTGTGTTTGTCCTTTATTTCTTTCTTTGCTATTCCAAAAGCTCAATAAAACACATAGTTTAAAAAAAATACTTTAGTAATTTTTTAAAACTTTTTTTATATTTTTTTTTAATTTTTTGAAGTGTATAGCAAACCAGTATATGCTCACTAGAACGAAAGCGAAACTTCTTGCATTGAAAGTGCATTGAATAAAATGTAAATATTTATAAAAAAATATATTAATCTTTTTATCTCTTTTAATAGATACAAATACATTTTTTTTTTGATTTTTTATTATTCTTTTTTTTTTGTGTGTTCTGTCAATAAGAGAAACCGGCTTGGTTCTTTGGAATCGCTTTCAACAAGTTTCAAAACAAATAAAAAAGTATCTGAGTTATGACTTCGAACAAAAACTTCATTAATTTATGCATAGAAAATTGGTCAAAGTTAGATTTAAAATTTTCCCTTAATTAATTAACAAATAAACTTAAGGAAAAAAATGACAATTATAAACAAATTAACTGAACAGTTATTCGATTTCAAGATACTTAAAATTTTCTATTTCTTAATAATTTATCAATTAACTAATTTCACCAATTCTTACTTTTTATTTAACAATTTGTTGTTGTTGTTGTTGTTGTCGCTGATGTTGACAAAAAAAAATTCGCATTTCTTTCACTCTCCAATGATAAACTAAATATTTTGAATTGCTTTTTCATAAATTTCTTGTTGTTGTTGTTGTTGTTGTTGTTGTTTCCGAATTGAAATTCTTTTATTTTGTATATTATTTTGCTTTGATAGATGATTCACAACACAATCACGCACGTCACACACAACTACAGCATTAATTCATTTTTCTTCACTGGCAAATTCATACGAAATCAACAAAGCAAAATGCTCACACAGATACAATTCTTGGCTTGCATGTATTAGTGCGTATCTATGTGCCACGCAGTATGATCGGTTTTGTGTATTTCTTTTGTTGTTGTTAATTCACTTATCTCTCTTACTCGGTTATTGCTTCTACCGCGCACTACATGTTCACCATTGAACCGCTCGAGTTTGACTGAATTTCATAGTTTCAACGCTGAGATACAAATGCGAAGTGCACGACGTAAAGTTGACGTAAAGTATCTGCGGTTGCAACCAACATCGATCACAGTTCAACATCAAATTGGTATTAAGTGGTTCCGAACCTTTTGATTGATTGTGCAAATCTTAACATAATTAAAATTACGATCAATTGATTTCTTTAAATTGGCATTGTGCTCTTCTTCTTAATCAACTTCAAGAATTCAGAGAAAGAGTATTATATATAACTATATAGTCCACAGGGTATTTTCAACTTATTTGGCATAAATGCAGGAAATGAAAGTGAAAGTTCCATTTTCAATATATACCAAGATATAGTCCTATAACGTATGTTAGAGATGCAGGAGACGAAAAAGTTCATATGGATGTGAAAGATCATCTTCAACATTTCCCTAAACATACTGTCTCAAAGCATAGTCCTCTCTTCCAAAAATAAAACTCCAGGCAAATACTTTTCAATGCGTAAATGACAGTTAATCTAATTAGGGTATTTAAGTACGCATTTTAGATCCTGTTTATTACTCGTAAACATCTGCAACATTCACCGAGAGTGAGAGGACAGTATTAATTACCTAGGAATCACCTTTGATAACCGGATCTTTTGGCACAAACATATACAAATCAAAAAAAATAGTTGCGCAGAAACACTGCAATCCATACAACCACTTTTCAAACACAACAACTTTAACACGAAAAACAGAAAGCTGATCTGCAGCCAAATAATTAGACCAGCACTACTTTATGGATCTGTCGCGTATAGCAAAGCTGCCGACTCTACTATTTAGAAGCTACAAGTTGCTCAAAGTCAGACTCTCCGAAGACTCTTCAAAGTGTCATGGTACATCCGCACGAATGACATGTTAAGAGACCTTAGAATAGATCCAGTCAAAAAATATATAAGAAACAGAGCTCCCTAGTTAGCACAGGCTTCCCTACTTAACACTATCTAATCTCAGAGTAAACACTAACCGCGAAGGGCGGTACGCAGATCTTATAATATCTCAATTTCCAAGGATAGCTCAGAGATTTACTGCGGACGATGTATTTCAAATGATTTGAATGATGATATTTCAGTTCTCATGGATAGAATAAACTGCGGGATAGATACAAAATACTTTGTGCCATTCGCAGAAAAAAAATTAGTCTTTCGGGTGTCTAATCAAACTACAGTTTTTCAAACTAAAGTCTTAAAGATTAGGGAAGTATGTCGGTTAATTATATATCATAGCGAGAATAGATTAAAGACTGCAATTTTTATTAGCAGCTAAACGCCAATTAAAGTACTTCAAGTCTTCACCTTTAAATCAAAACTAATAAGAGAATATATGACAGAAACCAGTGGAAGCTACCAAATTACTGACATCACTCTCATATGGGTTACAGGTCATAGGAATATTGAGGTGAAGGAAAAAGGAGACAGTTCAATAGCATATGGCACATTTATGGATGTGAAGGTACCGGTAAATACCATATATACCGGTAAATATATATAGAAGACGAGAGTCAAGTCATTATTGTTCCAAAGTTAACAAAATCAAATTACGGTCTACGTCCCGGACCCACTCGTCAATTTCGACAACCAAGTGCCGTTCACCATCCCTCAAAGCGACTATACAAGCAGATCCCAACCCGCTACAACAGAAACGTGTAATATAAACTTCCCTCGTTAGCAGTCAAAGTACCGCAATGACAGGCGTCCGCCCCACGTTGAGAAACACTGATTTGTGCACATATAATTTATATTGTCCACATAAAAAAACTGTTCAGATCTTTAGGTCTTAAATAAGCTACTAATATTTCATAACTTTAATTATTTTAAAAATACGTGGACAAATCTCTTACCTCCGTTTTAGAAGTTTATCAATTTCTACAGATATACATATTCATATTCTGCAAATTAAAAAAGAGCAATTAATATAAAATTAATTTTGATATTTATTAAAAATTTGAACCTAGACTAGCGACAACTTCATTTCCATATAACTGTAACATTAGTATCCTTATCGATATCCTTTTCAATATTAAATGGTGAGAGTCCAGTTTTACAACAGATTTCATCGAAATTCAACAGGCCAGTGTACATTTTTTGTCGTCCTGAAGGCACAGAACCAGTGAATATGGGATACTTGTGTATGCAGCGTATGATTTTGTGCTGTAAACCAAATATAACCAATTTCCTTTCATCGATGTTATTGTTCTGCGGACACAAGCGCTGACAAATTGCACGCAAGGTAACTCCATGACTCATTGAAGCATAGAACTGAAATATTTTCTGTATTGTTGGACTTTTTGGAATTTTATCGGGATTAAGTGCAACGTATTTACGACAGGCAGCAGTTAGAGACGTGTTTTGTATAAGATTCTTAAGATTCTGTGTGCACATATAAACATTGCTATATTTTAAAATAGGCAACAATTGTACTACACCGTAGTACGCCAAATTCTGCATACACGACTTGACTAGATCAGTTTCAACATCTGCCTCAGCGGCAATGCGCGCAATATGGTTAATGCCATTTATGTAAGGTAAAATCTGCACAAATAAAAACAGTTTGATTAACAAAAAATTTAAAAGGAAAAGGTAATATATATTGTTTTAACTCACCTGTTGAGTTGTCAAGTCCCAATTGTCCAAAGGCGTGTTTTTAAAATCAACCAGCAATAAAGGCACCATGTGATCTTTAACTATAGGTGGATCAGGTTTATGTGTAACAATTTTAAGATATATTGTTGTATCGCCCTCTGTTTAATAAAAACTTTAATTATTTTTTCTTTTTTAATATATATATAAAAATTTTATATTACCAACTATTGTAGTCACTTTCTTCTCATTTAAATCCCTAATGACTGTTTCGAAAATATGTTGCAGTTTCAACTTGTTATCTTCAACTTTAGATAAAAAACAATTTTCCTCCTCCATCATTATCTATAATAATATATAAAATGTTATTTTTTAATAATAGAACGATATTTTTATGTTTTATGGCTGACCAAATATTCCGATAGCTTTTTCACCACTGGTTCGTAGTGTACAGAGCGCGCCCAAGAGTCGCACACAAAACATAAATTAAACAAAAATGCATTGCGTACGTATTTTTGTTGATCCTCTATGCCAACCTAAATGAATTAAAAATAATTATTACCTTTTTTAATAATAAAAAAAAAAAACGCAAATATGTTGACTTACGGGATATCCCACAATTTTCATATCCACGGCATTCACAGTCAATATGCAGCGCTGCAAGTGAGGCTTAGGAATAATGTACACATTAATAGCATCAAATACATCTTTTGAAACATAATCAGGCGGCACCTTAAATTATGTTATTAAAATATTTTTTGCATTTCTACACTTAATATATTTAACTTTAAAAGTACTAACCTGGCAACTGATTTTGCAACCTGCGGTGGCATGAAATTCACTTAGAAAAATGCAACGAATTTTTCCTTCTTTCCCACATCCTTCAAAGAATTGCTGATTACTTTTCTGCATATCTTAAAAATTACAATAAATTCATAATTTTATTTTATAAATATATTGCAGCTGATTGAATAAAACAAAAACAGCTGTACAAATCCCATCCCGCCGCTGCAAATATAAGCGATGTGACACTTCAGTTCATCAAATGTTTGACGTTTGGTATAAAAAACCTTCGAGGTGAGTATTAATCACATGCGCTGGATGTAATTCAATTTGTAAATTACTTAGTACCATATCGTAATAAACTTTATTTTTACAAATTAATAGTATTAAATTTCATAAATGTAAATAATAATAAAAAATAAATAGTGATACGTAAACAATATACAAATATTTCGACAAATGGCAAGTTAAAATAATTCTCACATCAAGGACAAATGGTATAATTGTGTGTACTATTATCATAACACCACAAGTGCAACACGAAATCTAAATATTCATGCTGCAATATATATTATTTGAATATTTTGCGTTTTCCTAGCTGATATATTTTCTTTTAACAATACAAAATGTAATGTCAGCTGTTTACAATTAAAATGTCAGCTCTACAACTAGAAATTGTTGACGCATATAAGCTCGTTCCCATTCCTTAAGTAACTTGTGCTAATTTAAACGACAAAGAGCTCAATACTACTAAGTAACTTACTAAGTAAGCAGTGGAAACGTAGTATTAACGTTTCAAAACACCGATCAAAATTCGATTTGTTGTAATTTTGATACATACAACATTGACTGTTAAACTAAACTCAAATAATCCAACCACATAAAACGTTAAGAATAGAAAGTTGCAATAAATTTTTGTATTAATTTATATTTCATAATAATATTTTAAAAATACAAATTAGTTGAAAGTTTCTTCACATTACACCATATAAAGCAAAATATATACATTTTTATTTACATTTGCAATATTCAGTAATTTAATGATTAATAAAACACTCAATATTTTAAAAGGAACGACTAATGACTGAATTGATTTCTAATCCAAAATCGATTTTATTTATTGAATTTAAAACAGAAATAGAAAGTTTCATTAATTTATTTATTATTAATACTAAAAAATTATATTCATAACCGTAAAGGGGTGAACTATAGTAATATCCAAATTTTAAAACTAATAATATGCATTTTGTTTCTTCTTTATTTCCTTAAAGTGTAAACGATTAAATTCTTTTAATACTTTGTCAAGTCCATAATAATTAACTCAAAATTACAAATTCCACAAATATGTGCGAGATAATTGCATATTAGTTTTAATTCTGTTGATTACATATAAACTGCCTTGAAAAATTCTTATTTAACTATGATAGGTGTTAGTTTTGCTAAACACAAAATATAGTTGCGAAGCAGACCAAATTTGAATATATATGAAAAATTAGCAACCATTTTCATTGTATATGTATATTAATTTAATTCATAGCATATTCATATATAGGTAGTAAATTGAAGTTTCCTAGGGATTTTTTGCACTGTACTTATGTAAATATTTATTATTTTTGGTAAAAAGTTTTCAAATTTATTTGTTTATTTATTTACAATTTCACAATGGTAATACCTAATTTACTTAATTTTTATTTAAAATTTATTTACCCCACTCGAAATTCTGGTAAATACCAAAGTGCGCTACCATACCGATATGATATACTATTTCCCTCAATTTAATCGAACTCGCACACGACTATGTACACAAATTTGAAAGAAAAAACAAATTCAAAAATAACAATCTGGTAACACTCTAACCTTTCTTTGACTGACTTGCCGAATGTCAAAAATGACAATTCATAGTTTACAAAAAAACCGAATGTGCAAAATTTCTACAAACAGCTGCTTTAAGAATTAAACTTCTTAAAGTTGTTCGTATAAATTTTATTTGTTAGTAATAAATTAAAAAAATATGACGGAAAAAAGTTTAGAGGTGCCAGAGAAACTGAAACTTGGTCCGCGAGATGGAGTTGAATATCCTTTAATTGTGAATTACTGTGGAAACTGCACAATGCCAATTGAGGTATTTTGAAATGCTTACACTGTGTTCGATATTATTAAAAATATTTTCGTTTCAGTATTGTGAATATTATCCTGAGCATGATAAGTGTAAGGCGTGGTTGGAAAAGAATTTGCCAACAGAATTTGAACGTGTGAAATTGCAAGAGGAATCGGCTGCAGCTGACGGTACTGACGACGACAAAAAGCGTCAAAAACGTGGCGGCAAAGCTTTGATGAAAATTAAGAAAAAGGAAGAAGTACTGAAGAAAATAACAGTTTCGCGTGCACCCAGAGGTAAAAAGAAGTCCGTTACTGTTGTCACCGGTTTAAGCACATTTGGTAAGTAAAAATATAAGGAAATTGATGAAAAACATTCAAGAAAATTATTGTGCAGATATCGATTTGAAAGTGGCTGCTAAATTTTTTGGAACGAAGTTTGCTTGTGGCTCATCAGTTACTGGTGAAGATGAAATTGTAATACAAGGAGATGTAAAAGATGATTTATTTGATGTCATACCTAAAAAATGGCCAGAAATTGATGAAGACTTCATTGATGATTTAGGCGACCAAAAACGTTAGTTAAAAAAAATGGAATGGTGCTAATTGTATTAAGTAAATCAACTTTTATTTAACTTATAAATATAGCATTTTTATAACAAAACACAAAATAAGTTTGATTTTTTTTTTTGTTTTCCAACAAAACAAATTCAATTTCTTTCCTCCAAAGAGAAATGTTGTTTCACAATGTCCAGCAATTCATTAACTTGTTGTTCAGTAAAACGTTCCTCACTGTCCTCAACTAGCTGAAATTTTTATTTTATTATATTTATATTAATACTAACAAAATACTATTTTCTTACGAGTTGTACATGCAAAGCACAGGTTGGTGGGTCATTGGTAATCATTAGGCATTCGTTCGAAGTGAGCTTGTATGGCTCGATGCTTTTCAGAAAAGTGGCTATAGATGGCTTGCTCTGCACTTTACACGGCGTATCTTCTAAATATTGTAATGTCTAATGAGAAAACAAATTATATTATGCATTTAGTAATGAAAAAATAATACCTCATATGAAATTGTAGCCAAATTCCTTAAACCATATTTCTTTTTTGTATCTTTTGAATTTTTCAACGTCTCCATTACTTCCAAATTTGAGTACAGAGAATAACATGGATTAACACTAAAAATTTTGATATAAAACGTTTTGAAAAATTTTTTCCAATAATATGAACCACTTACATTTCCATTATAATATTTATTCAACAATTGTTTTTAAAATGAAGACAATTTTTTAAGCAACAATAAAAAAAAACAAACATGCCTAGACAAGAGGTGATGCCACATGTTTTGAAATATAATATGATGTAAATATCAAAATCACGAAATTAATATTAAATATTAATTTCACATATATATCACATAAAATTTGTTTAACTATTTCAATAATTTTAAGCAATTTTTTAAAACTAACATTAATTAAATTAAAAATTTATAAATAAATTAAATAAATATATATTTTTTGTGTCTAAAAAAATTGTTTTAATATAAAATGTTTTTTCACAAGACATAGTGCAGTAATTTGAAGATCACAGCAATAATAATTTATTTTATTTATATTGTTGTGGTTTATGTAATCGTTTAAAAAAACAGCAAAATAAATATTAATAATGAACTTTAGTACTGGCTCAATGGTTTAACATTTTAATCAGCATTCATATACAAATTTTATTAACTCTGGACCATAAGTGGCAACCACTTATGAAGTTCCTGTGAGTGATAACTATTATGGTTTCTTGGAAATAGTTTCCACGAAAAAAAGTTTTACTTATTTAATAACAAGTAATAAAATTTAAATCCTAATTTTTTGTCGTGTAAAGATACTTTTTGTTCATCCCTATTTGCTGAAGTAAACTTAACGGTTGATCCTTGGGTCATTGCAATAAATTTATAAATAATAGGAGACAGTATTTTAAGTATTTATTTAAAATTTTTCTTCATTAGGTTATTTATTTAAATCTAACAATATTTGCATATTTTACATCTACATTGTAACCTAGTCCACAGTATTACAGGATATTCGGTAATAGCCAGACTATTCCTTTCCTTGATTCCTCTTAACTCGATGCCGTTGCATGCTTTAGATTAAAAGTTTATTAATGTTT